CTTCAAAGAAGACTTACCGCTACTGAAGGAAAAGATAACAGAATATTTCGACAACTTCAAAGAGGAAGAATAAAAAAAATCTAAGCTAATTTTATTTTTTATAAAATTTTATCTCATATGAAAGAACATGAATTTAGAATATTCGGAACTCATGACAGAAGAAGAGAACGAACAACATGTAAAAGATTATGCAAAATTTCTAAAGACATACAAAGCATTTAAACAATATCTAAATGCTTCTAAAGATTATGCAAAATTTCTGAAGGTATATAAAGCTTATGAAAAAGCGTATGAAAAGTTTATACATTGGGGAATTGTTGTAAAATATCGATATGAAGACTAACCAAAAATATATTTTTGCTTAAATAGCTTCAGGGTCTATTTCTTCAACCATTTCACTTTCTTCGTCAATGTCAATAGAAGCTTCTTCAACCTTTGGTAGAATTTCTGTATAACATCTTTGTTCGTTATTGTCTTCAGAGATGAAGGATAATATTTCACATTTGTTTCACCCTTCTTATATTCTTCTGTTCGGAAAGATTTAAAGCAATACTGAAGAAGTCAACGTTGAGTTCTTTATAACAGTATAGTGTGTATCTTTGACATTGACGAAGAAACTCTTTTGTTTCAAAACTACTGCTAACTCTTGTGAAGTATAACGTTTGCGGTCAATGACAATAGCTAATGGTCTGACATACTGACCAAACTTAGATTCTTTCACAAACTTCTTGTTAAAGATAACATTAACATTTGAAGCACCATTGAACTCATTCTTGATGGCAGTAGCGAGAGCATTGTATGAAAAGAACTTGCAATCTTGCATGTGTTTCATTAAAATAAAAATATTAAATTATTTTGAAAATAACTTAAAAAAATCTAATCTAATTTTTTCAAAAAAATATTTTTTTTTATTTCCTACTAAAGATGTATCGGAAGTTGTCTAAGTTAGAACACTCGGAAATAAACAACTTCTTACAGAAGCTAACATAGATGTTGCAAAGCATTACGCAACAACAACAAAAAGCACTCGCTGACTTCATATAAAGACTTAATGGTGCAATAAGTTATGATAGAATTCATGAGTTCATAAAGCCGCAACGCGGCGAGACGAAGTCCATGCAAGAGCATTTCCTTTAAATGACGTTGCTATTGACTTATATCATAGACGTTCAATACCTCATGATGTTCGTCAAGAGATGTTTGACATAACAAATGCGAACGTTGGTCATACTCGTAAAGCTCTTTCCTCATGATGTTCGTCAAGAGATGTTTGACATAACAAATGCGAACGTTGGTCATACTCGTAAAGCTCTTTCTCATGATGTTCGTCAAGAGATGTTTGACATAACAAATGCGAACGTTGGTCATACTCGTAAAGCTCTTTCTCATGATGTTCGTCAAGAGATGTTTGACATAACAAATGCGAACGTTGGTGAAACAAGAAGAAGAGACGACACACTGAAACAACAGAGAAGAGAGATGTTTAAAGTGCTATAGAACAAGTTCGCAAAGCTAACGATGTCATTCGTTCCATTGACGACAAACCAAAGAAGGTGAGAGATGGTTAAAGAAAGATGAAGAGAATAGGAAGAGAATGTAAGTCAGGCAATAGACTCATTGACTTTAACATCGAAGCTTTAGATGAACCAAACAGAGACTACTTACACAAACATTTCGGTAAGGTTTTCATGAGACTCTTAGAGAAGATTAAAATAAACTCCCAACAAGATGGATGGTATGTTATAAACTTGGTGGAAAGTATGAATGTTCTACGTTAAACCTCAATAATATTGGAACATTACTACATCAGCTCTTGAAGGAGAACTTTATATCAGAGATAGAAGCAAATGCTGCAGGTATTGTTGAAATGCACTATGACTTCTTCTTGACAAACATAAAGAATCTTACCGAAATAAAGATGTATGATTTAACAGAATATGAAGGCTTAACGATGTCAGATGTAAAGAAAGGAAAGCCAAGAAGGACCATATAGAGATGAAAGCACACTGACAAATGACCAGAAAGCCATTTTGGAAGCTCTTAAGCAAACAGGAAACCCAGCACTTATAGAAAGCTTTTGGAAAGATAATGGTGAAAAGAAGTTTTATAAGAAGAGAAGCGGTCAGTTCTGGAAGTATCTTTGCACATTACCTATAAATCTTGAACGCTACCAAATCTTCAATGAACTGAACAAAAGAACTGCAGCACTTATGACAGAAGACAATTGTTTCGTTTATGCTTGCATTCAAGGCTGGAGTAGATGAAGAAACTATTGACCACATGAGAGAAGTCATTCGTGTTAGAGACTTTCCTCAAAGTAAAGTACAAGAAATTTCTGACGCAACAAGTATAGCATTTAATGTTACCATTGGTTACTTCAATGACTCAAGACATAATGAAATAAAGAGATACATACCAAAAGAATGTAAAACTGTTCGAACTATTGACTTACTTCTTGTTGAAGACCACTACATGCTAAACGAAAGATTACCAATGACAACATATTTCATTCGCAACTATATAGAAATCTTGAAGGAGTGTGGTGGAATGAACATTGAGAAACAGATGAAGATTTATACAAAGAGAGAGATAAATATGTAGTTCGCATGGATAGAACTACACCGCTATGGGATGTTATGAAAACATTGTGGAGTGCAAATATTTCGAACCTATTTCTTATGGAGAACTTTTCACATATACGACTGACTTATATAAACAGAACCTTGCACCATTTAAAGATTTGACATATGCTCCAAAGTATTGTGTACAACTGAAGAAGAAAGCAGAGTCAAAAGAAGTAAATAAAAATAAGTGCAAGTTCATTCCTGAGCACGTTTTCTTTGCTGACTTTGAGTGCAGTACCGATGGCTTTCATAAAGCTTTTAACATCTGTTATGACAGTGAAGATGGTTCAGTGAGTGAAAGCATATGGGGTCAGAACTGTGCAACAGAATTTTTGGAACGACTTCCTGACAAGAGTTTAATATATTTCCATAACCTCAGTTATGATATAAACTTCATCTTAAGACACATGACAGAAGTGAAAGGAACTCCCATCATTAAAGGTTCACGAACAATGCAAATAACTGGCTTATATAAAGGAAGGGCAATTATTATAAAAGACTCTTACAGTGTTATAAATAAGAAGCTTAAACTATTTCCTGCTATGTTTAACTTACAAACAGGACCGAAAGAAGTATTTCCATATAACTACTACAGCAGTACTTTGTTAGCAAATGACAACAGAACTGGTGTCATTTCTGAAGCGTGTAAGTTTGTAAAAGATATTGAAACGTTCATGAAGAACATAGATTCCATCAAAGGTTGCAGAATAGATGAAAACCATTTCGACTTAGAAAAATATAGCACGTTTTACTGCAAACAAGATGTAAGAATTTTAAGAGAAGGTTTTGTAAAGTTCCGCAATGACTTATTGAAAGAATTTGATTTAAACGTTTATGACTACGTTAGTATTTGTTCAATTGCTAACAAATTATTTGAGAACAGAGTGTACTTCCCGAATGGAAATTTATATGACCTCTCAAATAAACCAAGAGAATTTATTTCGAGATGCATTCAAGGTGGAAGATGTATGTTGTCAGATAACATTAAACAAAAGAGCGAAAAGAAACTCATTGCTGACTTCGACGCTGTTTCATTATATCCATCCGCTATAGCAAGACTTTATACTTTAGAAGGAATTCCAAAGGTTATGAAGGATGAGATGCTAAGCGCAGAGTATCTCATGAGACATTTATTCGATGACGACCAAAAGGAACCCATTGGTGAAAAGTTTATGTCTGGCTTCTTTGTTCTCATTAAGATAACAGAGATTGGAATACATAGACACTTTCCTTTAATAGTTTGTGACCCTGAACTAAATCCAGAACTTAACGTTCCCAGAAGTTCAAACACTTGCTGTTTAATGTATGTTGACCATATAACATTACAAGACCTCATAAAATATCAAGGTGTCAAATGTGAAGTGTTGCAAGGATACTATTACGATGGAAACAGAGATATTAGAATAAGAGATGAAGTTAAGAAATTGTTTGAGTTAAGGTTAAAGTATAAGAAAGAAGGAAATCCTTTGCAAGAAAATATAAAGCTCATTCTGAACAGTATTTATGGCAAAACTATTCTATCTCCTATTGAGTCAAAAATAACCATAGTAGATGACAAAGATGCTATAAGATATGCCATCAGAAACTACAACCATATAGTGAAGTTCGAAGGATTGGATGGTTCAGATAAAACTATTTTCAAGCTAACGAAAAGCATTTGCAGACACTTTAACTTCTGTCCACTTGGTGTAAATATTCTATCAATGTCGAAGAGAATAATGTGTGAAGTATTCTGTACTGCTGAAGACTTAGGAATGGACATCTTTTATAGCGATACCGACAGTATGCATCTCTACAATGAAGATATCCCTCGTTTAGCTGAAGAGTTTGAGAAACGTTATGGAAGAGTTCTCATTGGTAAAAACCTTGGTCAGTTTCATAGTGACTTCGCAGAAATAACACCTGGAAAACAAAGTTTAGCATACAAGTCAATATTTTGTGGAAAGAAGACCTACATAGACTTACTCACTAACGATTTAAATGAAGTTGCATTTCACTGCAGAATGAAAGGCGTGAAGCAAGATGTTATTGCTTTAACCGCTAATGAAATGTTTCCTGACTCTGTTCAGTGTTTCTATGATGAAGATAAAGGTTTAATGGTTCCGCAAGGAAAATTTGACAAAGACTCTGAGTTCAGTGTTATGAAGTTATATAAAGCACTTTATGACGGTCAAGAGATTGGATTTGACTTATGTAAGTCTTCTAGTCCTTGCTTTGCTGAAAAGTTTAACTTCTCAATAACGACTAAAACAAGCTTTATTCGTAAGTTGAAGTTCTGAGGTCATTTATTTTTGTCAGCAATGAGGTCATGAATGAGGTCATTTATTTTTGTCAGCAATGAGGTCATTCGTGATAAAAATAAAAGTAGCGTAGATTTTACAATACTGCGATGGTAGAGTTTAAGAGTTGTGCTTCAATGTAGAGACAGTCCTTATGGTCTGGAGGTAAGAACACTGGGCAGTTATGGTCATGAGTGGAGAACATGTCTATCCAAAACTCACGATTGAAGCCAGTTAATTTATAGTATTTAGGGTTAGGAAGTGGTGAAGTTCTTGTATGACCAATGAACTCATTTTCAACTCCCTTACTTAAGTTTGAATATAATATAGCTTGCTTTCTATCCCAAATGCCAGGTGTTACAATCTTTGAAAATTCATTTTTCCTCGGAAGCATTGCATCATAATTGAAAACATTCTTGAAATCATCACTTGGTTCAGAGATTTGAAATCTTATACGTAATGGATTTTTTTTCTTTTTAGCTACTTCATTGAATGGCGAGAATACAATGAATTGACAGTCATGAGTTCCATCTTCATTTTCATTAAATTCATAATGAAAGTCTATAAGTTGTGGCTGACTACCTTCTTCTTTCAGTTGTGCAAGAAACTCACGTAAAGGCTGTAAAGTTTGTACTTCAATGTTGAACTTTTTCTCGAACATCTCATTAAATGAAATCATACATTCTTGTAAAGTTGTATCGTCTTTAAAGTATTTGTATATGTGAATGTTTTGGGCGCTTAAAGACTGTTCGTCATTTTCTATCTCGACTTGAAGTATAAAGTCAACCTTTCTGAAAGCACGTGTTATATACATATTTGTTATGCCAATGTACTTCTCTTCATTTATGTTCACAATCCAGTCTGTTGGAAACTTAAACGTTACTCTGTTCCCCTTTATTTTGACGTCAGGGTTTTCACTACTGAACGCAACAGATAAAGGTATTTGTCTATACATTTAATTCGGATAAAAATAAACCATTTACTCTTTCTTTGCTTCAGCTTCTTTAGCTTTTTGTTCTTCCTTTGCTTCAGCTTCTTCTCTAGCTTTCTTCGCCAGCAAACGTGGGTTCTTTTGTCTTCCAGCAGCTAATGCAGCTAGTTGTTTTTCACTAAGTTTTCTCTTTGGTCTCTCTGGCTTTTGTTCTTGTTTTTGTTCCTTCAGTTCGGATAAAATTTGCTCACGAATTTCTTTCTTCAATGCTTCAACATCTATGACCCCTTGGGTCTTGTCCGTAGGGCTTGTCTGAGTCATTTGACTGCAGATAAAAAACAAAATTAAAACTTTAACCGATGTAAAATGAGCTTGTCAAAATCAGAGCGAGAGTCTATTATATTAAATGACGCAAGAGGAATACAACATCCTTTCTATTACGTAAGTCAGAGTAAAGATGGTAAAATATACGTAAGAAAAAGAAAGGTTCCATTAGCGAATGCAGAAAGCGACAACATTAAGGTGCATGGCAAGGATGAAGTCCACGAAGCCCATATAAAACCTTCTATTCAAACTGAAAAGTCAATAGAACCAGAAGAAAAGAAGCCAGATGTACTTTCAATAACGAACCAAGAGCTTATTGCAAAGTTCGTGAATTTCATTGAAAAACAAACCGAGTCAAAGAACCCTGACCCGCCAGTGAAAGAAGTTGAGACAAAAGAGAATGTACAGTTCATTGAAAATGTCAAGAAACAACTTCCACCACGAATGCCAAGAAGAAGAGTGAGAATAATGAAGTAAATAGATATTTTTATCCGAAGTAAATACATGCAGAACGAACAGTTAAACGAATTTACTCCAGCAGAGCATATTCATCAGATTCGCTCATATTTCGATATCATAGACAATGCAGTTCAAATTGGTGACACTAATAGAAAATATTCTGACGCAAAGATTCCATCACAACCTGGAACTGCTAAAGATAACACATGGGTAACATTCAATCTCTCACCTCCTGGTGAAAATATGTTGGACCTTTACAATACATTCATTACGTATAAAATGGAAGGTCAATTTATTGCAGATAAAGAAATTGGTTCAGGTTCCAATAAAACAAACCCACCAGGATTTTGGATTGGTTTCGATGACGCTTTCTATGCAGTTGCTGGATATCAAATCCTTGCAAATGGTCGTATCGTATATTCTCAAGACAACGCAAGAGAAGAAGCATATATAACTTCAAACTCACAAACTACCGAACAAATAAAGAAAGTAGATGTTTTCTCAAAGACTCGACATGAAGATGTATGGAGTCATTCGGGAACATGCAGAACAGGACAAATTGTTAGTGGTCCAATTACAGCAGGAAAATCATTTGATTTTAAGCTTCGTTTAAGAATTCCTGTTAGAAGATTCCTTCCATTAGAAGCTATTCGATTTATTCCAGCTTTTGCAGGAAACATTCAGCTTAAAGTAAAGTTCAGTAGCGACGCCTTACAATGCACATCTATATCTGTAAATGATATCATTGCTTTCAATCCAACTCTTAAAGTTGCATTTGCTTCAGATTCAAATCCACCGACAAATAAATTTGTTCCATGGAATGAACCATTCACTATGATAACGAAGGCAGTAGAAGCTAATGGAACAGTTACTATTACAACTGTAACCCAGCAACTATTTCGAACAAAGATGGATTTTAATGAATGTTTCATTCATCCAAAGTCATTCTCTTTAGACCCTAACATTTATACAGAACTTGTAGAACATTATACAAACGAGGCTTTATGTTTTCCTGTTAAAGTTATGGATTGGATTCCTATGGACGGTTCATTCTCAAAGAATACAGATAGTTCAAGTGCAACATTTACAGCAGCTTATACGCCTATTAATGTTAAAAGTATTTGGGCACTATTTAGAAAGAAAGACAACTATTATGTTAATTTTGAGAACCCTAAGTTTAAATATCTTCAGCTTTCCATGGGAGCTTATGGAAATATGCCTGCAGAACCTGAAAAATCATATGGACCTGTATTTTATGAAATGGTTGCGAACGCCTGCAATACAAACAATGATATGATAGGATTTAATGAAGATGTTATGAGGTCATTGGTGGATGATGGTAGTGTGGAACATAAATGGGATAGCTATGACAACACACATTTCTTATGTGGTTTTCCAACAGAAGTGGACTTTTGCTTCCAGCAAGGTCAAACATCTACTGCTCCAATAACATACAAATTGTCTGTTAAAGGACCTATTGAACTAGCAACTGAAAATGTACCAAAGCCACTTATTGGATTTATGAGGGATTGTTGCTTTGCCATTCAGGTGCGTGCTAATGGAATCCCAATAATAAGATTGACGACTATAACTTAGCAACTGACGACAGTGAGGAATAAAGGATGAACGTTTATTTTTAAAGCTTATAAATGAGTTCTTCATCAAGCTCTCGTGAACCTTCACCATCTATGAAACAAACTTTACCAAACGATTATGGAGCACCTATTGAATATTTCTTACGAGCTGCACAATGGCAAAGAGCAGTCTCACCAAGGTTAGGTGTTCCACCAGCTCCTGTCAAAAATAGCATTTGGTCAAGTCCTTATATAAAATATGGTCTCCCACTAGGTTTGCTAGCTACAGCAGGAGCAGTTATGATGTTGAAAAGAAATAAAGCAAATGTTGTAAATAATACTGAAGTAGCTGAAGTTAAACAAACTCCAACACCTTCGCCAAAACCAACACCTTCACAAGCAAAACCTTCAATGACTCCTGAACCTATGGAAGTACAAACTCCTGTTCAAAAGTCAACTCCTAAACCGACTCCAACATTTAAACCAGAACCTACTCCTCAAATAAATCGTAAAACTCCTGCGTTTCCTTACTGAAAAATAACGTTATTTTTATTTAATATTAAAATTTTTATTTGATTGAAATGACGACTAAAGTCACTGAAGCAATGAAACAAAAGTTTTTGGTAGAATACATTAAATCAGGAACTATTCCAGAAGGTTTTTACATTCATACTATGAAGGATGGTAGAGTTCAGTTTAGAAAGATAAAGCAACCATTAGATAAAGAAGGAATTTTGAGAAAGATTAAACTTCATGAGGACAACATTGCTAAACTTAGGAAGAAGTTAGAAGAGTTGGAGAAAGGAAGAGAGTTATAAAGCAATGAATTCAACAGGGTAGAAAAGACCCAAAGGGTCTCGCCGCTTAGCGGCTGAGGGTAGAAATGAGGTTAGATCTAACCTTCTACCCTAAATTTAAATGGATGTTTTCATACGTGTGATTGTGGTGATATCATTAATTTTTAAGTTTATTTTTTTATTTTATTTTTAAGTTTATTTTTATATAAATGACGAAAACTATTGAGATAACAAACTACAACGGTCATGAGTTCAAGAATTTGTTCTTTGTTCCTCGTGAAAATACATTCTATCAGATACGAGGGAGAAAGGGTAAAGTTAGTTTGAGCGTTTATGAAGGAATGAAGAATGGAAAGTTTATACAAGCATACGATACAAACGGTAAACGTGTTTCATTAGCTTTGTCAAAACTTACTAACATTTATTTTGACAGTGACTTTGACTCTGACGATTGGAGCGACAGCAGCGATACTGAAGAATATGAACTATTGTGTGAAGCACAGCAATGGGAAGAGTTGCAATACTTTTGTAAGTGAGAACGTTTATTTTTACAGTAGTAAGGTGAAGTGGTTGGCGGCTTTATAAATATTTAAGGTTAAGTTGGTGTTTGTGTTTGTGTTGTAAAATATACGTTAACGGTTTTGTAAAGTGTCAAATTCACAAGTATTGCGTACGGAGGAACGCAGTGCCACCGTACACGACTTAGGTATACTAACTGTTGCAAACTTCATTATGGTTTCAAACAATGCTGTTCCGATGAAGTTAGAAAGTTCTGACAGAAGATATGTAGTTGTCAGAACGTCAGATTCTCATATGCAAGATACAGAATATTTTGACGACTTAGCAGAAACTTTGACATCTGACTTTTACAACCACTTGTTCTCATATTTTATGACATTAGATATTTCTAAGTTCAATCCAAGACAAATTCCACATACCGAAGAGAGACAAACATTGTTAGAAGCAAACAAGAGTGTATATGAACTGTTCATAGATGAAACTGACTTTGTGTCATTAGATGAAAGGTCATTGTACGATTCGTATAAACAATATTGTCAAGAATATGGTTATATGACAGCGTCTAAACGAACATTCTTGGCAAATGTCAAAAGTCTTTTAGATGTTCAGAATGGTGTATATACAAAGAAAATTTTTTCTGAGTAAATTTAAAAAAAAATATTTTTTTATCCGATAGAAAAGATGACAAAATTCATCTCAGTAAACAAGTACATGTCAGGACTTAAAGAAGAACTAGACCCATTCACATATTTGAATGTTTACTTCTACCATTTTGAAAAGTCTTCATTCAGCAAAGTTTGGAACATCGAACCAGTTAAGTTTGCTATTGTGACTAAAAATGGTGCGAAATTTGAAGACTTAGACATAGAAGGTTTGTTAACAGTCAAAGAAAGTTTTGACAGAAGGTTCTCAAACCTTAAAGAAGGCAAAGCATACAAACTTGTTATACCTTATGAACCAAAGAAAGCAGACGACTATGAATATTATGAGTCTAAAGTTGTAGAAGTTCAAGGTAAATTGGGTAAAAAGATTTTAGAGTCTAAGCCAGTGTTTACTC